GCAAGGATAGATTGTGGAAAATTCACTGAAAAGTATGTGATTTTCTTTTAGCAATTATCATCTTGCTTCTTTGCAACAATCACCGTGAAAGCAATGGATACTGGAAGTGTGAACACTACACCAGGGAATAAGTTAAGTGGCGGCTAGATGATCCGCTCGTTTAAAAATGTTATGTAACACTACTGAGTCTGATCTATATATAGCACAACAGAAATTCAAATACACATTTGGAATTTTCCTAAGAGTTTTCGGTGTTCATGACTGTACTATGAGAACTTTCCAAGGATATTCTGTAGCTATAGGTTTGATGCTTGACAGTTTTAATTGTGTATCCATATTAATACATAATTAAAAATGTTTTCCAAATCTAGATTGGGACTTTTAGCTAAAAAAGTAAAGGGAGGCCTGATGTTTTAGTTTTAGTTTGCCATTTATTCTATAATATTCTTAATGGGCTATGTCTGTATAACTTCGACATGCTTTCTAATTGGTGCAAAATAGATGTACGTATGAATGGGTCAGATTCAGAGTTATCCATAAGAAATCTCTAATCTGCCAAGGACATCTGAGATAAGGCACATCAAGTGACTATAAACTTTGGCTTGACAGTCTTAAACTATCCAACTCCGAAATATCCAGTCTCAATTACTTGGGGCATGCTCCCTGCCTCATAAATATATACCATAAAAAATGATCACCATCACCTTTACTGCCATAAACCCATAGCTGGTAATTAAAATGTAAAATAGTCTCATGATGTAAATAAGAAACCTTCAAGGAATTAAAAACAGAACTAAAAAAGTTACCCAGCTTTACTCAATTCCTACATCAAATCAAATTAATGTGAATATGGACTGTGACCTTTTCCAAGCTTCTTGGTGGGCCAACAAAAATTGGAACAAAAAATAATTAATGAGAAGTGCATGATCCAATTCTAACCCTAGGAAAATTGCTGTATCTCTTTGGGTTCTAGCTTTCATAGCTATAAAATCAACAGGTTGGATGAGAAAACTTTCCATGGGTCTCTCATCATTGGATGCTTAAAGTGAGAAGAGGGCTTGTGAAATGAAAGCATGACCTGTCTATTGGAATTGAGGGAGTGTGTTATGATACAACAGCTGGAAAACAACTGAAGGAATTCAGAGCAAAAGAATATTTCACAAGAGGGGAAAAAAACATACTGTGGAAATCACTTTCAGTTAATGGTAAATGTTCATTTCTTACAAAAGTTCATTGAATCACGGAAAGGATTCTAGCAAAACTTTTCATTTCTTTTTTTCTTTATGGGCCACAGATGCTAGGGGTGTTACTAAATTTATGGCTCTTCACTAAGGAATAACAAGATGCTCTTTTTTCCCCCCCAAATCTAGATAAGTACACCAACTTGAGACTATGTATTATCTGGATATTTGCATAAAGTGTCTTAATTTTTCAAGATTTTACTTTCAAAATTAAGTTGTACCTATGTTTATACTTTAATGTCATATAGTCCCTTATATTTGTGTTACAGGGAGCAAAAATGAAATGAAATTATTTATGTTACGGCACTATCTTCCAAAGAAAAAGCTTCTGTCAGCTGCTGGGATTTCTCTTGCTGTAAAGAATAAAATGAGAAGTTAAAGGTACTAAGGAAATTAAGTGACTCTACATAATAAAGAACCCAGCCAGATGAAGAATGCTCATAGTCAATTTGGGCCTGGAAAAAGAGAAATAATTTGGATGGTTGTCCTGTGAAGCAAATTTAGACACCATGAAAAGGAATTTAAGCAATTTCACTGTGTGTTCAGAAGGCATTCTCCTTTGACACTTTCTCAAGAAGGTACTGAATTGATTGTCTTTGATCGCCTTTTGGATTGATGCACTATTCTTTTGAATGCAATTTTGTGCTGGCATTGGACCTTTTGGTGTGCTTTATTTGCATCGCATTGACTAGGAGTTCAAAAATCTGTACATCTGTACATTTAATCAGGCTGGATAATAATCTCGGAAGAAGACAGGACAAAAATATTTTTATTTTCCAAAATTGCAAATTGAGTGTCGTGGAGGTTGACGTGATTTCCCCAAGGTGACATAATGGAGACTCAAAGCCATGTCATCTGGTATTCTTGTCACTGCTTTATGGACGTCCTCTCAGTTACTAGCCCCGGCTGGTTAGTGGATATAATATTGAACAGCACCATTCCAGGTAATACACGTGTGGGATTAGCAAATTCCCTCGGTGCCCCAAACCAAAGTAAAAATTGTGAACAACAGGATACCTTGTCATTTATCTTCAGTTCTAATTGTTGGTATATCTTAACGTCAAAATATTTCATAAACAAACATGATAGTTCATACAATCTGGTTGGCTTGAGGTATTGTTCTTGTCTTTTAAGTACCTTTATTCACTAATTCTTCTTTTTTTAGATAAATAACTAAGGTGAAATTAGTACAATCCTCTATAGCACCATTGACCTGTTGTCTCCAAAAGTTTAAATATTATCCCTATCTTATTTTAAAATTGTTGTTATTAAACTTTCCCAATGGCTGTGGCACACAGAGGCCTGTACACATGTATGTTCTCTTTACGACAAGATAAATGTAAAGTCCAACGCATTCATGTTCATTATGAAAATCCCAGAAAGTGTGTGCTTGCTCTTTCCAGCAAATAGACTCCAAGAACTAACGAGAAGGTATGAAGAGAAGGCAAGTTTCATGAAAAGAGAAGTATTGAGACAATACTTCTCCCTTGCCACTCAGGGATTCATAGACGACAGAGAGGTGTCTCACTTTCTTTCATCTTAATTCCCTTCGGAAGTTCCCCCAGCATTCCAGAAAAGTATCCTTTTATTATTCAGTGTTATCTATGTTTCACTGACGAATTCATGGGTTATTTATTTATATATTTATTTATTTAAAAGGAATTACCAATTTGTTTGAATCTGAAATGGAAGATGAGCTTTGAAGGGCAGAAGGATAACATGACTTTATAAAGAAGTTGTGCAAGGAGTCAGATAGGGGTGCAGACATCCCTGTAAGTGTTGATCAGTTACTGTTGGAAGTCATACCCATTGCCAAAGTGCATAGCAACACATCATCTGACCTCAAAAGGAAGTCGTCTTGGTATTTCTTACATATTTGTAGAAGACTAGTTGTACCAATTACATTGGCAAGTCATTTGTTATTGCTATCTGACCAAACCTACTCCATGGGAATAAGTTGGACCCTATCATATAAACTGAATGTAGCTTCACCCAAGATTGTTCTCATATCCTCCAATCACCTGTATTTTCAATTTTATTCTTTTTTGCCATTATTAAAGAAATAGGCTAGAGAAAAGTTACTGCTCACCAGATACTTAAAAATGTAAAGCAAAAAGCCAAAAAAAAAAACCAAAAAATGAAAAATGCATGGCAGAAAACAGCACTTGTTTATGTCAGACAGTCACGGTGCTGGTGTTCTGTGAGTGTACTGGTGCTGTCTAATACAGACATTGTGTGTGGAATCTATGCTGTTAGTAAAGTGCTACTTTTGAGACCTCGTTCCTTTTTGAGACCCAAATCTGCAATCATTGAGCCAACAGTTTTCTTGGCACAGAATATAAAAATGGGGTCAGGATGTTGATGAAATCATATACACCATGCCTGAATTTAAACGTTAGGAGGTCAATATATATGCATTAACCACTTTCCTACTCAACAAAACTTTTCCTTTCTTCATGTACAGTGAATTTTTCAAAAGCTAATTAGTGGGTCAGTGGTAGTTTCATCTTCAGAGCTTTTTGTATTGTCTTCCTTGAACCAAAGAGGGAAGGGGTGGGTAGGAGAGGAAAAGTGGATCAACTAGGTAGGACAATAATGGATGCTGCATCTCACTGAACCACCTTTGCTAAGTGACATAAAAATATTCTACCATTAAGGATTATTTTACAACTCTATGGAAGCAATGCAGTGATACATCTTGCATTTGTGTTGTCACGATGACAAAATGCACTCTTTAGAGTCACAAGAACCTGCCTTGTGTTAGTTATAAACAAAAATATATTTATATATATATATTTTTAAGTAACTATTATGTGCTTTAAAGAAAATTATTGTATGGTTCAGCAGGGTTCATTCATTTCTTCTATCATCAGGGATATGCTGACTTGAATGGCTTGTTAGACAGGAATCCACAATGAAATGGGCTTTGCTTACAGAAATGGCAAAAAAATTTTTTTTTAAAAACAACAACCACAAAGTCCCTTAAAGGCTTTGTCTCAAAAATGATCAAGGAACTCTTGGTTATTTCCTGTTATTTCCATCAGCCGAGAGTGATGGTTGGCTTTGTAGTATTGAATAGAGAGGAAACGAGAGGTAACACTTCTTAAAACAAATCAGTGCTGAGGCAGGGGTATGAGAGCCTCTTCTGCTACTTTCTCCTTTTTATCGCTTAGCTAAAAGCTTGGAAAGTTTGTCACAGGTCTCAGAAGGGACACTCATTATCAAGGAAGAAGTAGGCATAGTTTAAATCTCCCGTGCCGATGCAAGATTCATCCCATAAAGTAATCAACTTGATGCAGCAGCTGGATCAAGAGTAGAAAACCAAACTCCTTTTGCCACAGGTCTGTTTAGAAAAGATAGAAAACCTCTTAGCTTGGGTTTGGTTTTGTTCCCATATGAGCTATTCTCAGGAATCTTGAAACTTCATCAGTACCCTTTCGAGAGAAAGAGTTCCAGCCTTTGGGAGACGGTTATCTTTGAGACCTTAGAGAAGAACATTTGAACCAAAGGTTGTAGATCCCTTGTGAACTAAAGCTTTATTATTATTATTTTTCTCTCAATTCCTTTGCAACCCTGCACCTAAAGCCAAAAGCATTTTAATCTTGTCATATTTCTGCTAAGTCCAGAGGAGATATTCCAAGTGAACTCTGGATGTCATCCCATTAGGGAATTTTATGTTTAGTATACACAATGTCTTATACAAGATTTAGTGTATCTTTTGCCCTTCCTGGATTGGGTATGTCCAGAAATCTCTTTTCCTTCAGGCTATAGCAGCTTAGGGTTCGTGTGTGTGTGTGTGTGTGTGTGTGTGTGTGTGTGTGTGTGTGTGTGTGTGTGCGTGTGTGTGCGTGTGTGTGTGTGTGTATGTGTCTTAAAGATATAAGCAAAATTTTAGTCTTAACACCTGTAAGCCAGTACTGGTGCTAGTCTGTCCTAGAAATTTTAGCACTGCTCTGATACAATAAAACCTTCTTTCTCTCCGACTGGTTCAACTTCAGCATAGGCAGGATGACCTGAACCTCTTCGAAACTTCATCGCGGGCCATTGGCTTGGGCGTCTCTAAAACAGAAAATGAAAAACATAATAGTAGTAATGAACTTTAGGGTGAGACATGCTCATCAGAAACAGTTTGCCAACTAGTCTAGATTAGCTTCTCAATTAAATGTAGCAAGTAGGTTAAATGATGTTTTAGTCTCATGAGAGTTAAAATTGATACAAGTTCCATTCTCTACACTCTCAAAGGCTGCACTTAAATCTGTCCTGGGGCTCTATACCCTCAGCAGGTGGAAGTTCATTTGGGAGTTTCTTAAAGGCAAGATTTCATCCTTATGCATATGTATGGGAAAAGTGCCCAAATACAACCAGGTAAAAATGAAGTCTTAAAAAATACATGGCCATTGACATTTCTCTTCTCTAGAAGTCTATATCACTTTTACTTCATCTTGCTAAATTCAATAAAAAATACAATTTTGCATAACTTTGCACGAGTCCTACAAGTGTGCTTTCAATTAGCGGATGGACTTTCTAGCAATTGTAGTGCCAAGAAATATCCTTTAATATCTTAAGAAATTGTTCAATAACCCATGCACACCTCTTTAGGGCTTTTTATACTTGAACATTTAAAGTGGCATATTCTAAAAATGGAATCCTTAATCAGAAGGTGTGAATAATTTGGAGCCTATGAGGTGAAATTTTGCACAGATGATTCTGGCCCTGCAATTCAGGCTACTTGTAGCCCCCAAGCCCCCAGCATTCTGTCTATCAAGCAAACCTCCGGTGGCTTGGAAATAGATGTGCTGAGATGAATTATGAAGTTGCAGGAGCAAAAGACACTAAAATGCATTTCACTGCCGCAGTGACACTGGAAACGATTACTTCATTTATCAAAGTGCCTGTGATTTGGGGATAAATAAGGCAATAAATATTGAAGGAAGTTTATTTCTATCTGAGGAATTTTAATGCAAGGAAAGGTTAGATGTCTATTTGCATATACAGGCATTTGGTGTCTTGCTAGATTTGCCAATGGTGTGCCCATGTGATTGATGAGGGGCTGTGGGAGAAGGATTTTACACCAAGTAGTAATGATTAGTTCTACATTTCGAGAGAAAATGCCCATTGAGGTAACTTTCTACTCTTTTTTTTTCTTTTTTTTATTGTGAAAATACTGTACAGAGGGGTTACAATTACATGGGCAAGATAATGAGTACATTTCTTATCAAGCATTGTAGCCTCCTCCTTTGTTTCCCCTTCCCATCCTCCCCTCACCCCCCCATCCTCCCTGCCCCCCCCCCCGCACCAAAGTTGTAAAGTTCGTTTTCGACATAATGACTTGCACATCTCACTGTTGCAATGTGTCCACCTGTATCCCTTTTTAGACTATTTGTTTTTCCCCTTCCCCTCCACAGATTATACCGACATCAAATACAGTGAAAGTAGGGGTTATACAGTGGGGGAGGGACCATACATAGCAACAAAGAAATAATCTTATAAATGTGTTAGAAACAATCGCATGAAAGAAAAAAACATTTGAATACGTATCTTAGGGTTCATTTCCCTAACATCACCTTATCTGACCTTTTCTGCTTGACTCAGACATATACTAGATATTGCAAATAAGGGAAACCATGGGACCTATGTTTCTTTGGGCCTGGCTTACTTCACTTAATATAATTTTTCCAAGCCTTTCCATTTCCAAATGGGGCAATGTCATTCTTTCTGATGGAGGCATAGAATTCCATTGTGAATATATATACTACATTTTCTTGATCCATTCATCTACTGAGGGGCATCTGTGTTGGTTCTATATCTTAGCTATAGTAAATAATGCTGCAACAAACATAGTCATACTGGTGGCTTTAGTGTGGTCTTGTTTGTAAACATTTGGGTAAATGCCCAAAAGTGGGATTGCTGGGTCATAGAGGAGCTTAACAGTATGTGTGGCATCTATAACGTTGTATGCTCAGAATGCCTACTACTCATTAGCTGATCAAGTCTCATGAAGTAAATGACATCAAAGCTCTCTATTATCTAGAAGAATGAATTCAAACTAAGGAGACGGCCATAAAGCAAAATCGTGGGCTTTTAGTGGGACAATAGACCATCGCCAGCGGATACATTCTGTAGCTCAAAGTAATACTGCTCTGAAGAGGACACCACAGTGCTTCCATCAGCCTCCATAACTCCACAACTGGGCTGTTACGAAGCCTGACTCTCCTAGGCAAACATTATGCCTTTGCTTCGTAGCTCTACATTTCCAAAGTCAAGAATGCATAGCAGCTAGCAGGGAGCAATTAAAAAGACACGATGCTCTAGGTAGATAACTATCACCAAGGAGGGGCAATGACAATCACATTCATAATGTGCTTGCCGAAGTTACATTTTATGAGCATCTTCCCTATATAATTATAAGTCATTCATTTCTAATTGGCAACTCAACATTTCCTACAAAACTTCGAGGGTAGCAAATGAAAGTCATGCTTAAAATGGTATTTCCAAAATTCAATGGTTTATATTGAATCCAACATCCAACATGTGTGAGCCTTGTTTTATTGTTATTTATGCCTTAAACATGTGACACAATTAGTCACTTGAGGCTTCTGTTACTAAATCGAATGACTAAGGTCCTCAGTTTGGCTTAGGTGAGAAGTTTGCAGGGCTGCTGACACTGTTCACTGTGAATTCATCCTAGAAGGTCTAAACATAGCACAGATATACTCTAGACAGTGAAACATCCTCTGTAGAGACAATACAAATTTATTTTCAGGAATAATGTATATATACTTAAAGATAACTTTTCTTGATTCATTATTCACCAAAAGGCATAGAAATATGTCAGTAAGAAATAAAATGCCTAGAGAGGCCAGCTCTCACACATAATTTGGACATCCATATATGCACTAAGGGGTGGAGAGCCATTGTACTAACAAGGACCATTTGGACTTTTATAACATTCTTGGACCAGACAAAATTATTAAGGAAGCCAATGATAATCATACCTGTCTATTCTGTCATGTATGGAGTGATTTCATGGCCCAGGGCCCACATGCCAGATAAACTCAATACAATGGGTATAACACAGTTCCAAAATAATGCAAGATTGCTTTTTTACTCCAGGATAAGTTCACGTACTATACCTATTCCCATAGTTTTGACTTAATGGAAAGAAAGGGAATTTTCCAAGACAATATCTTAAAATTTATACAGGTTGATTATCTCGACTCATAATCTGAAAAGCTGAAATTGCAAATGCTGCAAATTCTGAAATGTTTTGAGGATAGATATAATTCCACAAAAGGAAAATTCCATACTACAAAACTTTGCTTCATAAATGGCACTATTAGAAGCATTTTATCAAAGTACCTCTAGATCATAGATGGAAGGTGACAAATAATTTTTGTGTTTAGATGTGCATCCCATCCCCAAAATTCCCCCAAGGTATCTGAAAATATCCTAAATCTAAAATATTTCAAAATCTACTTCTGATCTCAAGCACTTTGGGTTAGAGATACTCTGTAATGAAATCTATTAAAAAAATAGTACAACTGGACTTTAAAATTTTTTATCTTATTTTATGTTCGTTCACAATTCCTTGACTTACTTAGCCCTAAAACCTGTCAAATAAATTTAACAACTGCATCAAAGTTCTGCTTTCTTTATAAAATATTTTCACAAAAGTATAAAAACATTTTTCTACTTAACAAAAAATTATGTGATCGCAAAAAACTCATTCAGGGTTTTGGAGCCTTTGTTTCCTTATCCTTAAAATAATATCTATTTGTCATTTGAAATCCCCAGATCTTTGTTTTTGCTTGTCTCTAGTAATTGACTTTATAACTGGAGAGACCACAATGAAAGAAACTAAAACAAGGGTCGAGCATGATGGTCTATGGCCGTAATCCCAGCTACCTGGAGAGGCAGAGATCCAGAGGATGATTACTGAGACCAGCCTCGGCAAAAATCAGGGAGATTTTGCATCACTATTACTAAGCTGGGTATGGTGGTGCATGACTGTGATCCCAATATAGGTAGGAAGGTCATGATCTGAAACCAGTCCCAGATAGAAACTCAACACCTGACTTGAAAAATAACCCCCAAAGGGGTCTAAAACACCTATCTAGCAAGCATAAGGCTCTGAAGTTCTACCACCACTACTACCTCCACTAAAAAGAAACAACAAATCTTCCATGCTATAGTTCTGATGGTTGATACTCATGCCTCATTTGATTAATGTTTGCAATTCCTAAGCCTAAGAGAAGATTATAAAACAATTAATCCTAACTGAAATTGTGTTTCAGTATCAATCTGAAGCAATTCAGAAATGTCTGAATAAATGAAAACAAAAGGAAACTATGACATTGAGATACTCAACAGATTATTTTGTTTTTATGAAAAGATCCTTAGTATTGATGCTATGTGACTTATGCACACAGTCACCAAGAAAAGCAGAGGCTCTCAATATTATTCCGGCCTGACATGAACTTGTAGTTTGGCATGTCAAGAAAGGAATATACCAAACTTCTTTCTTGAGGCTTGGACATTTCCAAATCTGTGGTCTTTTTAGAACAGTGAATTCAAACTGTTCCAGAAAACTGACAAAGTTCACAGGGTCACTGGCTAACACAACAGGATGTATGCGGAACATTGCAGAATTCAAACCAGACGGGAAGATTAATTTGTTGCAGAGACCCAGGATGCAATGCTTGAAAACATATTTAGGGTGTGATGTGTAGGCGATTTTAATTTCATTTCTGAGAATTATTTGTGTAATTAATCACAATCAGAAGAAAAAAAGTGCTCCTGTTGCTATGTTGACACTGGGGTGGGCCACACGAGCAGGGATTCTCCCTAATTACTCCTTCAGTTTTATTAACTGAACAGTCATCCAAGTCTATCTCAGTGGTCTGTGGCAGGACAATTAGCTGACACATCCACAAACAAACAAACCTGTAGCATCTTCTCAGCAAAGTACACAGAACTGCAGCTGGAGATGTGTCTTCCAGCGGGGAGAGACAACAGAGCTTTGTGTTGTGTTATTGCACCCTTGAAAGGAAGTGGGAAAC